TGGTGGTGATGGTTGTCTGTTCTTAGTTTGTTAAGGGGAGGGGCGTCGTTTCACGATGTATTCCGAAAACTGAGCTTGGAATAACTATTTGCTCAACCACAGATATCATGGTGCTGTGAAATTAATATTATATTTGGGGCAAGTTCGAGGATGTTGTACATTATCAAACAATATAACAAGCTAATCACACAACGCTGATGATGTTTCCCAACATTCTCATTTATTTATGACAGCCAACTTGTAATTCATTCGGAGTCAACATTACACACATGTGTTCATTTCCAGAATGCAGTGTCGGGTATTCGGGTGCTGTCTTGTTACGAGGTGTTTTCCGAAGTAAACGCAATGATTAACCCAGAGATCGGTGCGCACAGACCTAAATTGTGAATTCCGTAAATGACCACACACGATCAATGAAATCATAATATATATTTCAAAAACAAAGTTTCATGTATTCAATCCAAGAGTCATACAGTATACAGATAATAGTTGCAGCAGCAATAAGTAACTTGTCCTAGTGAGGAGCTGTCTCTGTTGATGTTATTTGACACAACAGTCTTGATCGTTCGAGAAGTCTCTGGATGTGACAGTTTCTAGAAGGCTGGCTGTACCTATATAAAAGAAACAAGAGGGCGATTCAAGGCCTTTTAGATCTGACTGGTTTCGAATCTACTTGCCAAATGCGGTTTCGATACCTTCTTGGAATCATTGAATTCTTGCCAGCTTCCAAAACTACTCTGGATTCAAGAATAGGCCTCTTTGAACAGTCGCTAGGGCCTGTTACGTATTGAAATGCATATAGGTTGGCTTTGCAGTGTCAAATACATTGGTAGACGTGCGTTTATACTCTACCAAAAATAAACCTTACAAAAAGGACAAGAGGTTTTTGCAGAAAAGATAAAAGGAATTTAACACGAGATGAATACCATTGTTGCATTGAGGTGGTTTCCTTACGGCAAAACGTGAAGAACAGCACCAATAACAGGTAAACCAGAGTTGAAAATAAATCGCAAAAACACCAAGAAAATGCACGTGCATCATGAAGTTCTGTATCTATGCTACTATGTTGATTGGCAAAGGTCCACATATAGAGCCACTATAGACGAAGGCACAATGTCATGATTGACGTCAGTTTAACGCAATATCGCCATTGGCCAATTGCTACCAGGGGCAACACAGACATGTGACAAGGCACCTCGGCGTGGCAAAACAACACTATCACCAACCAATGGACACGTACAGCAACACCGTAAGCTAACGACGGCCAAAGGTGAGGTCGACCCAGAATAACTAGCGCAGCCCAAGATCGTTTATCCGGTTGCAACGTCTATGTGAACGAAACACAACATCCTCGGCTATACCCAAATCCCTGGGTTACGCAGAACAGTGCATACTGCAGGAGGCAGGACCTTTAGCCAGAAGGCCAGAGCGACGTAACATCTTGACACAACATAATCTGACTGGACTGTGTGGAGCGAGCTGATCGATTTAGTGGTTGAAGGAAGCATCAGGGCTCGGACTGGTATCCATCATGGCGGCTTGGCGGCTCTCTAGCATGGGGTCGATGTGCTGAATGGGGTTAGTTTTCGAGACAAGATCTTACAACGTCACGTCGTCCCATTCATTGTCGCCTCAGGTGGACATTCCCAAGAAAACAACGCCCGACCACTCATCGCACGTGTCTACCAGGCCTTCCTGGAGCAAATGAAACTTATTGCTATTACTATGACCTGCGTGATCGACCACTAGCAGAACATTCTTCAAACGCGTTATTCGGGATCTCATTGCTTCCATGGGTCGCCGCTGTCAAACTGCCATAAATGCTCATGGTGGTCACAACAAATATTGATATTTTGGTTTATCCTGTTGCCTTTACCGGGCCTGTTGTTCTGTCAATTCACACGTGAACATGTGTCGGACATTTGTAACGTGACACTGTTACAATGTTTTGCCACATTGTTGTGTAACAAATGTATTATTTGAGATAACACATTCTTAGTTAAATACAGATTCTAGTACTTTTGGGGGGTTGAGTCCCATCCGGGATTCGAACCCGCACTCCCAGAGTGAGGCACCTAACTGATCTAACCAACTAAGTCGTCGATGCTTTCCAAAGATGATAGTCTGTGACGACTTGATAGAGGGGTATACAAAGTACGTGCTCTTGACTACCAGGTGTCGGACCACCATTTTTTAAAAGATATGCTATTCTTGTTATGCAGCCATGCCTCTCCAAGTACCGGCAACTGTCTATTTCAAACAACATGCATGAAATAGCAAGATTATGTTGATACTACAGAAATATAAATCTTTAAAAAAAGTAGGAGACACTCGGACATTACTTACAATTTCGAAAATTGTACGAGATTTTCTAGGAATAATTATTTAAGAAATATACGACTAGTGGGAGTTGTTTATCGTGCAATAAAACTCTTTTGGGAGAATACACCATGAGGGGATCAGCGATTATTTTTTATATGAGATATCAACATTATGTACAGACTCTTTTAGGGTGATGGTAAAAGATGGTAAATGTCACTGGGGGCTAAGTCTGGGCTGTACAGTTAAATCACCCACCCTCCAGCCCAGACTTAGACCCCAGTGACTATTTCCTGTTCTGGCAAATGAAATCTGCCCAACGTGGAAGACGCTTCCAGGATGATGAGGACATAAAGGCTGCAACAGAGGCGTGGTTAGAGGGCCAATCTGCGGATTTCTATAAAAGTTGTATTAAAAGCTTGAAGGACAAATGGAATAAGTGTTTTGAGGTGAATTGAGATTATATTGAAAATATAAGTGCAAAAGATATTCTGCGACTTATATTGAAGTTGCAAAACTTGAACTTGAACTTGAAAATTGAACGCCCCTGGTATGTCCCTTTCCTCTTGCAGCTCCTGGCCAAATTTAGCCAACGTTGTTGGCGGCCAATGACGTTATCTCACATGTCTCCCCACGATGTGATGTCATAGTGATAGTGATGCCACCCGACACCATAACCGATCCGCCGCCATGTCTGTCATGAGTTTAACATTTGCTTGACGTTCATTTCGACGTCGCCAGACACAACCTCGCCCATCAAGGAAGTGCAAAGCCTACCGGCACTCAATAAACCTTACAATCAATATTTACTGATTTGAAATTGCAAGGTCATTATTTCAATATTTTGACATGGAAAGACCAAATATTAGCTGACCAATATTCTGTTTTAGTATTTTGTGAGCTTTTTTTAAAGAGGTATATTCTGTTTGGAAAATCTTTGGAATATTGACAACTGGTATTCATTTTGTGATTTTAGGGGGCCTATTCAAATGTATCACAGTAAAACTATGAGGAAACAATCATGCGTAGACCAACAGTGGGAATCGTTAGATAACACTTTGGTTCATCTGTGTGTCCACCCATACACTAAACCGATTTTGTAGAATGTCGTTCTTCACGACCTCGAATCACAATGCACAAGATACCCCAGCACATTGAAGCACATTAAACTTTAATTCAATTGCAACTGTAACTCAAATGTTTCACTGGTTCACCCTGACTAATTAATTACAGACACGTAAGCTCGTGAAATCCTCGTCTTTTGGTATGGCAGTGCAAGAAATAAAATGCCTTCAGAAGCTTGTTTTCGTTATAGTGGTTTTTTTTCTATTTCTCTGTAATTGTCTACCACGAATACAAATGTGACGTCCCTAGAACGTATGGTTACTAATTAGTTTACCGTTTACAATAGGTGACTTTTTACTTTGAACCACATATTTATGAACCACCCTTGTATGACGTCATCTATTTATTTTTTAGGTTTCTTATTTTCGTTTAAAACTTCTCAAATCTTTAAATCAGCTACAAATGGTGATAGTGTAGGGAACACACAGCCTCTGATGTCAGTTATGACTGATGACTCAATAGATGTATAATCGAGTGAGTGAGTTGTGTTTAACTCCGCTTTAACAGTATTCCAGTTATATCATGGGCGTGTCAGCTTAATGTGGGAGGAAAGCCCGAAGTGATGCAGGTCTTAGACGTTTACCACCTCAGTCAAACCCACGAGCACGGGTATGCTACTGTAAGGGTGTGCTGGTGGCAAGTACGGCAATGTACATGCATGTATATAAACTTGTTAGAATAAAGCAGATACGACGGTAAATTAACTCACTCACAAGCCGTTCATGACCTGTTGAACTGTTTCTTTTTTATGATTGACATTTCTTCCATGGCGGCATGGCAGAAAACTACTTTCGTTAGCCTTCGTTTTGGACTTGTGCGGGTTTAAATCCCGCTGGCGACACACATTTGTCAAGGAAATTGTTCGATCATAAAAGTGTATGATATGGGGAAAAATGAAGTTGTGTGTAACTGGCAATTCACTCCGTTAATGTCCGGCTAAAGACATGGTTTAAGTTAAGTTACATAATAATACACAAATAGTTATTATGCTATTCTTGATTTACACCGAGTGCTTCACGACCTCAATCACAATGCACAAGATACCCCAGCACATTGGGGCACGTTAAACTGTAATTTAAACTCAAATGTTTCACGGATCCACCCTGACTAATCAATTATCGACTCGTAAGCTCGTGAAATCCTCGTCTTCTGGCATGGCCGTGCAAGAATAAGGATGTCTTTAGAAGCTCGTTTTCGTTATAGTGTATTTCTATTTGCCTGTAACTGTCCACCACAAATTCAAGTGTGATGTGCCTGGAACGTATGGTTACTAATGAGTTGACCGTTTACAATAGGTGACCTCTTAATTTCAACCACGGATATATGAACCACTCTTATATGACGTCATCTATTGATTTTGGGGGTTTCTTATTTTCGTATAAAACTTCTCTTAGCTACAAATGCTGACAGTGTTAGCAATATACAGCCTCTGAAGTCGGTTGTGACTGATGACTCAGTAGATGTATAATCGAAATCGGCATTGTCAGTTCCATGACAATATAAAGGGTTATTACAAGTTACAATAATTAATGTTCTGTTTTGTTTTGCAATGTAAGGGTGTGCTCGTGACAAGTACGGCATTGACTGTCAACAGACCTGTTCATCTGGATGCAAGTCGGGAGGATGTAACAGTTCCACCGGAGAGTGTCTGGGTGGGTCCTGCAAACCCGGGTGGATGAACACAGATTCCCTTCAACGTTGTGATCAGGGTAAGATACACAATATGGCAAATAATGCGTTCCAAGTTAGTTTATTCACATCCATTTGCCATAAGTATGTTATTCCGTGTCTGCTATGCTTAGCGTGTGCTCCTTCTTTCTTCCGTATAGCAGGACTGTTTGTATGGTGAAACCAATACAACGATAGTAGCTTGGCCGTGTCATAGATTTGATCATGTTCAGAGTTTGCATGATTCAAAGAATCTTTAGCATCGCAGTATGTTTCATGCTTACGTGTCTTCCTGTTTGCCACTGGGCATTTTTTATCATCGGGTTTAGGTTTGTGTGCCTATTTGAATCCCGCTGGCGACACACATTTGTCGTGGAAATTGTTCGATCATAAGGTGTATGATATGGGAGGAAGGAAGTTCTGTCATTGCCAAGTGGTGTTTAACTGGCAATCCAGCCGTTAATGTCCGGTTTAAGACATGGTTTAAGTTTAGTTATACAATACTACACAAATAATTGACAGGTAAATAAAATATGCTATTCTTGTTCTACTCTGACAAACTTAACTAACCGGCCTTCTTCATTGAATACATGCTATAAAATTCATAATTTTGTCAGTCATGAAAAATTAACATTGACAACGTTATAAAGCCAATACATTGCTAACACTCTGACATAATCCTGTTGTTCTCCCAAACATGGCGAGCGTGACATTGACCTTAGCGGAAGTGAGCAATATCATGTGGTCTTGGCGCAGAAACGGAAATATAATTCCCCTTCACTCCACCGCTGCCACGTGCAATCTACAAGGCAGGATAGTAAATTCGTTGTTTATAACATTCTGGCCGCTGTTACTAATTAAGCTTGTAGAATTCACTAGTCTGTTTTGTGAAATGTATTCAGACATGAGTAATATCGACTCCTGCACTATTGGTAAAGAAAGGACTTTAAAATACAGATGGTAGGTATAATATCTTTGAACTACCCCCGCTGCTGCACACTGAGACATTTAATCAGTGTCCTAGAGTTTATCCTCTTTCTGTTGATACAGAGTGTCCTGACGGCTCGCATGGTGTCAATTGTGTCTCGACATGTTCACCCGGATGTCTTGTATCTCCGTGTGATCGGATAACTGGAAGGTGTAAATATGACGGAGGCTACTGTAAACGTGGATGGACATCATGGTATTCTCACCCTTACAGATGTGACAGTAAGTACCTGCAGATGTGAGTTACACCTTAGATGACATGATGTTGAAATGTGATATGATGGCCAATATATGGACATTTGTGAGCCCCATACAATTGTTGAAAACATTTGTTGTCTTTAGTGTACTTATTTAAGAATAAGTAATGCAAGTCATCGGAGCTGTGGTTGTTTTTTATTTAGATTACTTTGCCCTGTATGTATTGATGTTAGCTGTATGTATATGTCATGACATTAGTATGATGTTAGTGCAGTAATGTGGCCACAAGTGAAGTACTTCTATAGGCTAACAATTCGAAGGTCGCGAGTTCGCGTCCGACGGATTCTCACAAAAACTGGTTGCTTGTCTTTGAGACATGTGACCTACGGCAGAGATCGTCCTCGAGAGAAGTACAGTACCACAACTTCTTGTTAGCCCGACAGCTAGCCGACTGAGCTTCGTCCAAACTGTTAAGTTTGGTGCAAATTCACCTAGTCATGTCTTAGACGTTACGGAACTGAACGAAAAGGGGCGAGTAGGTGACGAACACTTCCGAAGGTTACGGGTAGGCATGGCGTCTCGTGACTTTAGTCTACACACTCGTCCCATTCCGTAATCAACAAGATACCGAGTGGTGAAGAATGAGCTGATGTGGCGCGAACTGAAAACGGCTCCAGGCGTCAGACGTCAAACTCGCGAGTACGCATTAATGACATGGTATTTAATAATTCGTCGGGTGACTTTTGTGGCAGAGAAGTGCGGTAGGGAACACTAGAAGGATGATGTGGATAATAGTAAGGAACGAGGGAGGCATGGGGAGGGTGAGTTCGCTTTCGAATCAGTACTGAAAAAATGTAGCAGGTAAAAGTGGCTTGTGTGAATGTTCCAGGACAGTTTCCTGTAGCCACAATACTCGAAACAAAACCATTTTATCCTTTTTACTCGACAGTTTTGTGTGAAGAATATGAGGAGCCGCTATAGAATCTATAATAGCCACTAAACGGCCACCTAACCCTAATGATCGTAAAGGGGATCCAAGGGCTAAGGTTAGAGTTCGGGTAATCTAATAGCCACTAAACGGGAACCTAACCTTAAAGATCGTAAAGGGGTGATTGATCGTAAAGGGGATTCAAGTGCTAAGAAGAGTTCGGTGTAACAGGGACGGGCGGCTATTACAGGGACGGGCAAGCCTGTATACCGCTTTGACCTGGGTGTAGGTCATGGTGTGACGCGGCGAACGGTCATTGTACATGGAAAGTTGGCTGGAAGTGACATTTCTGTCACACTTAGCACAGTCTTTCTATATCAATGATACACCCAATGGCCAGAAGGCGGTGTTCATTTGTTTCAGAGTCATAATATGTATGAGTGAGTGAGTTGTGTTTTACGCCACTTTTAGCTGTATTCACGCATTGTGTCCATGTAGGGATTCAAACCTGGGCTTTCGACGTTACAAGCGAATGCTATAACCACAAGAATACCCCACCGTCCCTTATATGTATAAGTTTGGTGATGAAGTGACAAGAATGAAACAATGACTGATCAATATCTGGTGTGTCCGCCATGTTTGGTCATACATGCACGACACCTTGATGGCATACTGGTGGATTAATTTGCGTTTGGTTTCCCTTGGTATTGCCCGCCATTCCGCTTGAAGAGCTATCCCATGGCTTGGCCACGTTGTGAATAAACAATTAGAGCTATGTTATTATAAATTAAGTGTCAGAGCATTCCTATTTCATATATTGCTTTGACATTTCAGCTGTGAATCTTCACAAATACACAGTCCCTTTTTTCGTTAGTATGTTAGTCAACACTCACGACCGAGAAGGTTTGCAAAACAGGACACAATTTTGGGCATATTCGTTCTATGTTGACCTAACTTTTAGAATGAAAACTTTTTCTTTAATAATACAAAATGCTTTTTCACATAACTGTCATTTAAAATATAATGATACCTTTTTGATGATAAAATATTCAACAAATATCACTTGTATTTAAACCATATGTTGTATGTTTTCATAAATAAGGTGAACTTTATGGTGATAATTAGCTACAATCTTCCTCAACCTTATAGGTCTTGCTCGTTGTGAGCATCACACTTCTCCTATGATAACATGGGGAAGTGAAGAGAGGCTGTTACTTTAAGGTTACTAGTATTCATTGCTCTTGAGATTACGTTCTGCGTGGTTATCTACTTTCTTCTTCAAACATACACTTTCCATTGACGTCCTCAGATGTGCTCACCAACAACTTTGATTCAAACAACAAAACGCTGTAGTAGCGTCTTTAGAACGCGGATTCATACAGATTGCACACTGGTTTTTCGATTAATACCTCAATGAACCGAAAGAAATACACAGTCAATCCTTCAGTAACATAATACCATACACCCAAAATCATATATACATCAGCTGACCATATGGACATTGGGTTCTTCTTTGTTTTTGTTTATAAACTGTGCAATAATTTTAATAGATATCAAGTGTATCTAAAAGTGTCTGTGTATATGTCAATCAATACATCTTCAAGTTCAGAATACTGGCAAGTTCGCTATAATGGCTGACATTTAAATTGAAATGTGTTCGTTAATTCCATGGGAATAACGAGAAGGCTACACTCCCCTTAGTTCTTTAATTCGTGATTGTTGTAAGCATAACATTTCCACCTACAGTATAATATGGAAAATTAAAGAACGGATATGTCTTTTGGCCATTTATTCCTGCATGGAACATGAGATCGCCCTTAAGTATGCTAATGAAGGACTGCTACGTGTTATTCTTACACACGTACACCTTCCGTTCACGTTCCGTTTTTATGTTTATCGGACAGGTTCTATGTACAAGAGAACATAATTCGTATTTGTTGATTAAAGTAGTTCTGTTTGCTGCACGTCACATAACAAACAATACACGATGGCAGAAGGACAGACTGATTTTGACAGCAAACTCTCTGCATTTTTGTAACATAACCACCTTTCTACCAAGATTTCAAAGAGCGGCATACGACTCTTTAATTATTATCGCTTTAATTATTAGTATGTGTCCGAGAAACAATAACACATGTTACAACTATTTATAGACGATCAAGTACACCAAATTACGTTATGATCATAAAAAATGACAAGTGAAAGGATACTTTGGATAATATTTGGACATCAAGGAGTGTTGTGGATATAATATTTAAAGATGTGTTTGGTGAGTGAGTGAGTGTTTTACGCACATTTGAACACTGTCAGTATTCAATTATATCACAGAGTTTAAGTTCGACCTGGAATGAAATCCCCGAGGGATGCAGGTCTTATATTTTTAAACATTAGGTGGACCCCATGAGCACAGGGATGGTGCTGACAAACGTCTTGCGTGACTGACTGGGCCTCCGACATTCACGGGACTATACGAACGTTTCCACGCATATGGATATGCATAAAGTAGATGTGATCTGTTGAATGTTGTCAGTAGACATGAGACATTTGCATTCCATATCAAACAATGGTCTGTGTTTCAAGCAATAGTTTTAATAAGCAATAATTTTATATTCAAAATATGGATCCTTGTAAGGAAGACTATTCCCAAAGAACACCATGCTTCTCACATGATTACTGAGTATTGATTGGTCTAAATGGGATCGGGCTTATTAAGTGTCACCCTGTCCCGGCGGCTATCAGTGCTAGGAACCATTGGTTTACCTTTCCTACACTCTTATTACGAACAGAAGCATTAACTCGCACACTCGTTAACAATATGGATTCTTGCATCGCCTTGTCCCTGGGCTTAAATGTAATAAAAACACATACATATTCATATTTCTTCATGACTGTTTTGCAATATTATGAATTCCTTCAGTTATGTCTGTAGGCTATCTGCCACAGTTATGAGTAGCTTAACCTAGTCTAGATTTAAGCATAATTCCCACACTGCAGTGTCTTTTGTTAGGAAATAATATACATATTAGTTTTTCTTTTCGGGGATGAACGTTTCCTGCATTGCCTCGTGTATGTAATCCCAAGCAAAGCCTCAAAGTAGTTGATTTATATACTATTAGCAATATTTACGGATTTGAAATCGCGTAGTCATTACTTAAACATTTTGATATGGAAAGACCAACTATTAGTAAACACAGATCTTCTGGCATTGTGACAAAGGACGTAATGAGTGTTGGCTTTTAAAAAAACATGTTCTGTTTGGAAATATCTGGAAGACAGTTTACAACTGGTATACATTTTGTGTAATATACTGAACAACAAAAGTTCCTGTGACATTGAATAAGATTTAATGCAAAGTTATGTTTTTTTACCAAATCTGAAACAATTTCGGTTTGCAACAGATAAAAGACTCCTGTAAGTGTTCAAATGGTTTAATTTGCCATACTGACTTAAGAAAATGCGTGATTTAAAAAAAATCATGAACACGCCAAAACATTACAAATCAATAGCGTGTGTGTCCACCTCTGGTTCCGATGCAAGCAACACATATTCGTCTCATTGAATGGACCAGGCGTCGCACAAAGCCCTGTGGGATATCTGTCCATATCTGCTGGAGCATGTTTTAAAGTTCCTGGAGTCAATTAGTGAGAGATCAGTGGAGCGAGCCGGCCAGTGGATGACATTCACGTTGTTTAGTTGAAGAGATTCCTGAACAAGTCGAGCAATGTGAGGCAGGGGGTTGTCATGTTGAAAGGTAATGCCTGGGCCATGACGACGCAAAAACAGTAGAACAACAAGGCCAAGATCTCGTCGCGGTAGCGCTGTCCATTGAAATTTCCCTCTACCACTATCAAACGGTTTCTCTGTCTTGCTGTAATCCCATGCCATACCATAGCGCTGCCGCCCCCGGACCGATCTTCTTCCATGACACAATGATTGACGTAACGTTCACCTCGACGTCGGTACACTCGAATCCGTCCATCGCTGTGGCTGAGGTGAAAACGAGACTCGTCAGTGAATAGAACTTGTCCCCACTGCATGGCCGTCCAGCGTAGAAGCTGTCTGCACCACTGTAGACGTGCTTGACGGTGGTTTCCTGTCAAAATGAGACGTCTGGTGGGTCTTCTCGCGACAATCCCTCCACATCTGAGGCATCGACGTACGGCTGGTCAAGATATTCGTCGAAGGCCAGGGATGCTGCTTGCAGTCACTGTTGCTGGCTGGAATCGATATTGTAGGTGTGTTGTTCGAATCCAGTTGTCTTGTCGATTATTGGTTACGCTTGGCCTGCCACTCCGAGGATGGTCTTTGACTGCATTCGTCTGTTGCCAACGTTTCCATAAACACCAAATGGTGTTTCTGTGGATGTTAAATTGTCTTGCGACATCACGTTGACTCGATCCTGCTTCAAGCATAGCAATGGCTCACAGACGCTCATTTTCATTTTAGCACGATGCTGAACAATGCATATGGAATCCCATTAACGCACATGTTTTTATACCCATTCTTGGGTAGTGAAATGCACGGGGCTTGCATAAAAGTCAACTTTTGCATGGAATGCATGCTTTTCTGTAGCAGTTGCGTTTTTGTGACTTGATTCTATACATGTACTCCTATAATGAAAACCAAATTTAACTTCTTTGAAAAATACACTACAATATGGTTGTCACAGGAACTTTTGTTGTTGAGTATAGATATCGATTCAAGGTTGGAGTCAATGCTGCCTGACGATTTGAAATAATAGGTCAACACATTGAATGTTATGGTAGTGAGGGTTGTCTGTCCTTAGTTTGTTATTGGGAGACGCGTGGTTTCACGATGTAATCCGGTAACTGAGTTGGGAATTACTATTTGTTCAACCACAGATATCACGGTGCTGGGAAACTGATGTCATATTTGAGGGAAGTTCGAGGATGTTGTACATTATCAAACTTTACAGCAAGCTAATCGAACAACGCTAATGGTGTTTCGAAACATTCTCATTTATCAACGACAGCCCACTTATAATTCATTCGGAGTCAACATTAAACATGTGTTAAATTCCAGGATGCAATGGCGGCTATTACGGAGATGGACAAGACTGTACACAGTGTGGAGCTGGATGTAATGGAGTTTGTGATGGCAATGACGGCCACTGCAAATGTAAAACTGGCTGGACGGGAACTAGATGCAACAGTAAGTACTGTCTTTGAAATATTGTTTTCTTGTTGTTCATGTGTTAATCTCCTCTCTACTATTTTTTGTATTCGTTATGTTATCGAATAACAAAAGTGACACACCAATTATATTATTACATTCTTTATTGTAATTTCTTGTTTTATCGACTGCAACGTAATTAATAGAGGATAGGTGTTATATTTATAAGGTACATATTTGACGTCATTTTCACAACATTCATAGTGTCTATTTTGTGAAAGAATGTTAGCTTCAACAAGATTAAATAAGAGCCATGAGGGGTCAAAGACACTCTTTATGTTACAATATTGGATACGGCGTGTCAAGGGCAGTTCCGGACCACGTACATGTCTACCCGTTTGTCCAATTCTGCATTTGGGGACAATCCTTGCGTATTCCATCACTATTACTAGGGGAAACGAGGCAACCAGAGCATTCTTTTTTCCTTTTTTTAGAATTCTAAGTTATTATTTTTCACAACTGCAGTTAATGTTAATCCTTCTGACAATGTTCCTTTAATAAGTAATCACAATAGCATTAAACGGATTAGAAAGAAATATCTTGTCATCCTAAAATGGTCATTAGTCTCTTTGACGACGCCCATCGTTGATTATTGCTGGCTGAGATATGACTGGACTTCACAAACATCATACTTTTGGATTGTTCTCTGTACGTGTACAGGAATTTTGTGTTGATTTAATAAATGCATATCAATAAAAATCGACAAAACACTTTCAATTATCAAAAGTGCATTGTACGATTTAGACTAGATCATATGCATGTGTTTTAGCATCAGTATCAAATGCTGATGATACCAGGTGTAACACAATCTAACGTCACATGACTTCATGTAACATGCGTTATTCGGCGCTCAATCATTTACGTTACAGAATGCGGGAATAGATAGACATGGATAGACGTGACGGAGTGTCTGGGCTTTTGGTGTGTTCTCTGTTCGTGTTTCATGTCCAGGAATATTATCATATAAATGTGAATTTACTGAGAGCTTATAACACAATATAACAACCCATACCATAAAAAAACATGCGTTATTCGTCGCTCAACCATTTACGTTACAGAATGCGAGGACGGCTATTACATGGATAGACGTGACTGTGTAGAGTGTGGTGCTGGATGTGAGCCTGGGACTTGTAACGCTAATAACGGGCTCTGTACCTGTGTGTCGGGGTGGAAAGGACCTCGATGTGCAACACGTGCGTGTCAGACTTTATACATTACTGTTGTCTTATTTCGTATTCATTTGTGTGATATGGTTTTTTTCCTATTAGCAACCATCAAACATGGGTCTGCCCGATAGTTTATGTCGTGCAGTTTGCAAACACATACAGTATTTTCCCTATTCATTCATAACTTTGTAAGATTTTGCACATTATTCTGTTAACTGCCATTGATCGATGGTGAGAGGGCAGTACACCCAGTGATAAAAATAATGCTATATTATATAGAAAATGAGATGTAAGCACCTTTTGCCTGAGTGGGTCTACTAGTCACGCCTGGCAGTGCTTACGGTAGGAATAACTACTTCATTTGCAGGTTGTGATGTCGGAACATATGGACCAGGTTGCACAGGAAAGTGTAACGCGGGATGTAAACCAGGGTCCTGCAACCACGTCACCGTTGACTGCAAGTGTAAAGACGGATGGAGAGGTCCCAGATGTGAACACAGTAGGTTTTATCAGTCACCACTTTGACGTTACTTCACCTACACGGGTCTTAAAATGACATCGGTTCTTACCATCGGCTGATCATGTCCTGCCCTGTGCTTGGTAAACTTCATTCTGGAAATATGTTTATATTCAACAAAGTCATAGAACTCAAGGCGGTGGCTGATGGGCCAAGCGGGCCTTAATTACCCCCAACTTCTAATTCTAAATCGAATTAAGATAACAGCCAAGGGCGGAACTGTTTCACAATATTAGCTAGCTGTGTCTGTGTTGCTTGAGTACACTATTAGCATCCCTATAGTCCTGGTGTATGTATAACATCATCCTTTTCTTGACACGCAGTGGGGGGTAGGGGGGTGGGGGGAGGGCAGTGTTGTTAAATCTTTCTTCTTTCTTTATGTCTCGCCAACTTTTCATGATCAGTGATAAACGTGTAGTCGTAAGTGGCCCAAATAATGTGTCTATGAGAGTTGTGCTCAGAATTTCTTGCATTCTTTTATTAGTAATTACATTGTGAAGTTATGTACATATAATGTACATCTTTATCTGCAGTTTGTCCTGAGGAAACATATGGACGAGACTGTACAGGGGAGTGTAACGCGGGATGTAAACCATTGTCCTGCCACCATATCACCGGTGACTGCAACAACCAGTGTGAAGACGGATGGACAGGTCCCAGTTGTGAACACAGTAGGTTTTCACTATCAGTCAGTGTGGTGCATGGTGCCCCATCTCTTTGCCTCCTCTTTGTTAACCTAGACACGTTTTTCTTTGAACTGTTGTTTATAAGACGAGAGCAGATAATTCAATTTATAATACTGACATATTTCTGTCGTTTTCACTTATGAGTGAAAGGCTTACAGTAGAAATCACTACTTCATCTACAGAATGTATTGACGGAACTTATGGACTATACTGTACAGAGGAGTGTAACACAGGATGTAAACCATGGTCCTGCAACCACATCACTGGTGACTGCAACAACCAGTGTGAAGACGGATGGACAGGTCGCAGATGTGAACACAGTAAGTTTTCATTTATCAGTCACCACTTTGACGTTACTTCACCTACACGGGTCTTAAAATGACATCGGTTCTTACCATCGGCTGATCATGTCTTGCCCTGTGCTTGGTAAACTTCATTCTGGAAATATGTTTATATTCAACATAGTCATAGAACTCAAGGCGGTGGCTGATGGGCCAAGCGGGCATTAACTACCCCCAACTTCTAATTCTAAATAGAATTAAGATAACAGCCAAGGGCGGAACTGTTTCACAATAATAGCTGGCTGTGTCTGTGTTGTTGAGTATACTATTAGCATCCCTATAGTCCTGGTGTATGTATAACATCGTCCTTTCTTGACACTCAGTTGGGGTAGGGAGGTGTGGGGAGGACAGTGTTGTTTAATCTTTCTTCTTTCTTTATGTCTCGCCAATTTTTCATGATCAGCGGTAAACGTGTAGTCGTTAGTGGCCCAAACAATGTGTCTATGAGATTTGTGCTCAGATTTCCTTGCATTCTTTTATTAGTAATTACATTGTGAAGTTATGTACATACAATGTACATCTTTATCTGCAGAATGCATTGACGGAACTTATGGACGAAACTGTACAGGGGAGTGTAACGAGGGATGTAAACCAGGGTCCTGCCGCCATGACACTGGTGACTGCAACAGCCAGTGTAAAGACGGATGGACAGGTGCCAGTTGTGAACACAGTAGGTTTTCATTATCAGTCAGTGTGGTGCATAGTGTCCCATCACCTTGCCTCTTCATTGTTAACCTAGAAACGTTTTTCTTTGAACTGTTGTATGTATGACGAGAGCCGATAATTCAATTTATAATACTGACATATTTCTTTCGTTTTCACTTATGAGTGAAAGGCTTACAGTAAAAATCACTACTTCATCTACAGAATGTATTGACGGAACTTATGGACTAGACTGTACAGAGGAGTGTAACACAGGATGTAAACGATGGTCCTGCAACCACATCACTGGTGACTGCAACAACCAGTGTGAAGACGGATGGACAGGTCGCAGATGTGAACACAGTAAGTTTTCATTTACCAGTCACCACTTTGACGTTACTTCACCTACACGGGTCTTAAAATGACATCGGTTCTTACCATCGGCTGATCATGTCTTGCCCTGTGCTTGGTAAACTTCATTCTGGAAATATGTTTATATTCAACATAGTCATAGAACTCAAGGCGGTGGCTGATGGGCCAAGCGGGCATTAACTACCCCCAACTTCTAATTCTAAATAGAATTAAGATAACAGCCAAGGGCGGAACTGTTTCACAATAATAGCTGGCTGTGTCTGTGTTGCTTGAGTATACTATTAGCATCCCTATAGTCCTGGTGTATGTATAACATCGTCCTTTCTTGACACTCAGTTGGGGTAGGGAGGTGTGGGGAGGACAGTGTTGTTTAATCTTTCTTCTTTCTTTATGTCTCGCCAATTTTTCATGATCAGCGGTAAACGTGTAGTCGTTAGTGGCCCAAACAATGTGTCTATGAGATTTGTGCTCAGATTTCCTTGCATTCTTTTATTAGTAATTACATTGTGAAGTTATGTACATACAATGTACATCTTTATCTGCAGAATGCATTGACGGAACTTATGGACGAAACTGTACAGGGGAGTGTAACGAGGGATGTAAACCAGGGTCCTGCCGCCATGACACTGGTGACTGCAACAGCCAGTGTAAAGACGGATGGACAGGTGCCAGTTGTGAACACAGTAGGTTTTCATTATCAGTCAGTGTGGTGCATAGTGTCCCATCACCTTGCCTCTTCATTGTTAACCTAGAAACGTTTATCTTTAAACTGTTGTATGTATGACGAGAGCCGATAATTCAATTTATATTAATGACATATTAAGTTCATTTTTACTTATGAGTGAATGGCTTCGCATTAACAATTTCCTCTAATGAAGGCCTATTCGTAATACTATATGTATGAACAGTGTGTTTGAAGCAGTGAAATGTCCTGGAATAATAGATATATGCATCTCGAAAAGGGAGAGGATGGGTCATCTTGACATCATCAACAAATCTATATCATATTCAACAGACTTTTTTCATCATGTCACTTTCCACAACGATGTAAATAATTTCATACGGAAAAAAAACAAAAACTGTATCCTCCTCATCCTTTGGCTGTGACTTTGTCTACTGGCCCGACATATTACTTCATATATATTGTACTTTTATCTCTCCCTTCACCCGTGGCAACCTATGCATACTGACATTAGCTGAACATATTAGAAATAATTTTGTGGAGGTGAACAAGATGCAGTAGTGTAATATCTGACGTGAATATGTCAATTCAATAATTACTCGTTGACCAACTATCAAAATATTTAATTTCTATGTTACTTAAATATTTGTTAATTATAATGCGTCCTAAATCTACTCAATACCGTTGAAAGCAATGTTAAACCATAAACTGTAAACCTGGGTCTTATAGTGCAGCAAATCATCAGGAATGTATCAAACAGTGAAAGTTTTGAATGCAACTGATCAATATGTAACTCGAGTATGACCAACATGCATGTTCCAAAGGCATGCGAAATACCCGTGTTCCTAATTTTATTGGGGATCTTCTATTGAACTTCTATTGTCCATTTGGTCATTTTTTGTTGTGCCATAGTATCAAAATAAACATGTTACGTCATTTTAAGTAAGGCAAGCAACAATTAAATCCTTGATTGAACCGTCACACCCATTTTGTAAACATTTTTCAAGCGTTTTCAGTGTTGAGTGTATTGTTTTAAGGGATATGTCATTTGCCTCCTACCCAAATTGATAAACAACCAAAGCTGAACTATTGTCTTTTACATCTTGCTAATTATCGTCATGACGTCATCATTTGAGTATGAAACACTTCAACAGTTCTGTATACCATGATCAGTTGTTCAAATATGTGGAACACCAGCAGACAACATCAGCTGACAACGCCAGTTGACAAAACCAGTTGACAACACCAGTTGACAACACCAGTAGACAACATCAGCTGACAACGCCAGTTGACAGCGCCAGCTGACAAAACCAGTTGACAAAACCAGTTGACAACACCAGTTGACAAAACCAGTGGACAACACCAGTGGACAACACCAGCTGACAAAACCAGTTGACAACACCAGTTGACAACACCAGTAGACAACATCAGCTGACAACGCCAGTTGACAGCGCCAGCTGACAAAACCAGTTGACAAAACCAGTTGACAACACCAGTTGACAAAACCAGTGGACAACACCAGTGGACAACACCAGCTGACAAAACCAGTTGACAACACCAGTTGACAACACCAGTAGACAAAACCAGTTGACAACACCAGTTGACAACGCCAGTTGACAGCGCCAGCTGACAAAACCAGTTGACAAAACCAGTTGACAACACCAGTTGACAAAACCAGTGGACAACACCAGTGGACAACACCAGCTGACAAAACCAGTTGACAACACCAGTTGACAACACCAGTAGACAAAACCAGTTGACAACACCAGTTGACAACGCCAGTTGACAAAACCAGTTGACAAAACCAGTTGACAACACCAGAAGACAACACCAGCTGACAAAACCAGTTGACAACACCAGTAGACAACACCAGTTGACAACACCAGCTGACAACGCCAGTTGACAGCGCCAGTTGACAAAACCAGTTGACAACACCAGTAGACAACACTATTCGACAACACCAGCTGACAAAACTAGTTGACAACACCAGTAGACAACACCAGTAGACAACACCTGTTGAAGTCATGCAAAAACCAAAGTGTACACATTCTTCATCAAGCCTTAAAATTCAGTGGGTTGATGAATACCTCCAATCTGGTCAATTGAGACGCTGGAAAACAAATACGCCCCCATACTCTGTTAAAGTGCAATAGGGTGGCCTTGATGACAAGGCGCGAGCTCATCTAGCCTACACACCAAGCCAGCTATCTATCAAACTCCTACTTTTCCCCACATCCCATTATTAATCCCAACCCTTAGTGAGTTGGGGCAGAAGGGCGATTGAAAACCTGAGTATTTTTGTAACAAGGCGTCAGCTGTTGTCCCCAGAGCTGTTTAAACGGTTCATAAGTTTAATGAGGGTGCACATTTAATAATATCGCCCATATTCGGGTTTACCCCAAGGTTTTAGTTTGCCTGTGACATGGATGATTGTCTTAAATGCGTTCTTGAGGGTGTAGCTGGTGTCTATGTTGGATAGTCTTTGACTATTTTCCCTGCTTGGACCGGGGTAAGATGTGTCTTAAACTGAGCTCGTTTCTAAAAATCGGCTCATCGTGTCTTGCCCTGTGCTTGATAAACTTTCATAATATCGTCTTTCCTTGACACCAAATGAGGTGTGTGTGTTTGTGTGTGTGTGTTTGGGGGGGGGGGGGGTTCAGTGCTCTTTAATCTTTCCTCTTTCTCTATTGCTAACCCACTTTTAATAGTTCTCGTTAAAAGAAATAAGGGAAACCAAAAATACGAGATATCAAGGCTGTTGGTGGAATTTGCGGACATGGTAAAAACGTCACCCGTCTTCGGTCTGTTTAACTTCGTAGAATGTACACGGGGACAACATATATAAATCTCCTCAAAACACATCACTTTGCAAGTTGATCATATGTGTTGTCTCGGTGCACAAATCACTGAATTCATGCAGGGCCATGAATTCGGAACAAAACGTCCGCTGTAGGAAAAATTGGTATAATATGCTTTTCAGATTCACATACGAACGTCTAGATGTTCAAATCCCTGCTGAAAGCAGAGTCGAAAGCATAATGTACAGTGTTGGCAACCTAGGGAAGAATAATAGTCCTAAGTTTATAGGAGAATTACAATCAAAGTTTGGGATTAAATCATTTATATGATATTAAAACAAGTTTGAGGAAACTTGATAAGCAGAGTTGTCCTCACGTGACCTGACGCCACAGTGGAGATATTACTTGCAGACGATCACTCTTTCTGTAGATTACCAGCGTTCGTCATGGCATCACCAGACAATGACACCGATGCAAACGTTGAATTTTCGCTCGATAACTTCATACATATTTCTCCATATCAATATGAGCTCTTGGTCAGTCAAACTAGTCATGACAGCAACGATGAAAACGGGTTAGATTTTTCGAGTGAAGACGATCTATCAGATATCAACACAGAAAGACGAGGGAAGACCAATTGATTTTAAGCGGTATCCTCACGTTTTAAAAAAAATGGATGCTTACACAATCATTTTGTTTTCTTCGTGAGATGGTTAATCTTGTTTTTTTAAATGTGTAGAATGATGCTTACCATTGTCAAGACATTGTCCATTGTGTTGTCTTTCCGCCAAACAATTAGCATTAGGGCTTAAGCTAAATCTGATTTCTAGATATATGAATGATATATATTGATTGTATTGTGTTGTGATTGCTGGTTCAGTTAATGCTGCCGTATAAACAGTTGTATAAATAATAGTTGTTTAGTTGTACTTCGTTGATCAATAGGGGGATATTCGTGTCTGGCATTAAGCTAACTACATGTACTCCACTCGTCCTATCCCAAAACAGCCATATCTATATCATGGGCTACCGTATAATAGAGAGAAACACACACGAAGAATGAAATAAACACATACGATTTTTTCAACAACAAATAAATGAAATGAAACTTACAATACACTCATACCTTTCACACTATGTTTTCCCTAGAGACGTGTACACCACATTCACACTTAATTTAACCTAAAACAGCTTTTTCTCACACTATCACTTATCCTAGATTTAGACACATGTACCTTTATCGGCGGCATTTCTTTAATTCTGTAGAATGTTCATTAAAGCTTGTTGGATATGTGTATAAAGTACAAGAGTGATACGATGATATGCATCAATGATTAGTATGTATGTAAAGTGTTGGGGAGAAAACCGCTCAGTGGCGAATAAGAACACCCGCAAACAAAATATCAGCATTTATCTTCAGTAGCATTTTAATTGTTCATCTTTAAAAATGCCTAATGCCTGCGTGAATCTGCGTGAATCTAACGCTATGAAGTTTCTTTAATGGTGAATTGCCTTATGATATACTGTCACAAAAGATCCCCTCAGGCCGAACTACTACAATCATCATAAGTAGGATAATGATGGTGTCGGGGCATCTTCAAGAATAGCTGCCGTATTTTTGGTCATAAGTTGCTAAGAATAGGCCGTCAGAATAGTTATCATTTTTATTCCTTTTCCAAAGAATGCGGGAAAGGGCAATATGGATCTGGATGTAGAAAGCCGTGCCGTCGTGAATGTCTTAGCTGCCACCACGTGACAGGGAGTTGTGCCAGTAACTGCGTTTCTGGATGGCATGGGGAAAACTGCACTTCACGTAAGTTTGTCTTTATCTGCGGCACTGCAGTCATATTTTACAAGTACGTTGTTACGTTGTTAGTCACATGTGTTCTGACTTTCATTACAGGATGTCGATCGGGTATATATGGCCAGGACTGCAGGTATCAGTGCCATGAAGGATGTCAGCCTGAGAAATGCGACTCTATCAATGGAAGTTGTGGAACTTCGTGTAGAGCTGGGTGGACTGGAGAAAACTGTGTAGACGGTACGCTGTGTATCAGTTATTACCTTCGTTTGAAAAAAGTTTTGAGGCATCATTAATTTAAAACTGTCATAATACAATATGAGATCATGATGCTTATTTAGCGAGTTAGTGAGTCGGGTTTAACGCTGCTTTTAACAGTATTCCAGTTACATCACGGCGTGT